TTTTGATTTTTTTCTGTCTTTTACCCCTCTCTCTGTGTCGATCAACGGACTGGAGCCATACCGATAGGTCAAGTGGGAACGTGCAGCTGCAAAGCATCCCGTTGGAGACAGTTAATCGGTAAAGCACACTTAGAGCTGCAGGTCCCTTCTCCAGAGTGGACCTGGAAGATCCACACTATGGTTGAATCGCACAGTATGCACGGGTTAGCAAGTGCGGGGGCGAATTGATCGACCTGGATGGTTAGTCAATCCATTCTCTGTGGATGTCGTTGCTGTAGCGGCGGTGAGTTGTACTACGCCATAGGCTAGGACAAGTCCTGAACTCGGAAGATATCACACACTTCAGGTTATCGCTGGGAATGAAAGTGAGAGGTACCCACCCAGTCAAGCTATGAACGCATGATATCCATAGTATGGATATGATATATCCAAAAGAAGCAATAGAATGCATACATACATACATACATATAATTCGTCGATGGAGTCAATCAATCAATCCTTCTTCACCTTCAAGCTCTTATCCAAACACTCCACCACGTCCTCGACCGTCTTCCCCCGCTGTCGATCATCCGGCTTCTCTTGCCCCAGGATAGGATCATCCGCGACGGTCTGATACACCTGAGCCACGGCGTAGAACCTAAAACACAGAAGTTGGCCAGTCAGCCTCATAATCACTATGACTATACCAGGAAGGATTTGGATCACACATACAAATCACTTTCAAACCCCCCGTCATCCCTCATCGTATCCCCAATTTCCTTCATCTCCCTCACCCACCGATACGCCTTCGGCGGCATCCCTACCACCCCCTTCTCCGCTATCCGCAGCGTCGCCGCATTATGCTCCTCCATCAATTCTTGCAGCTGCGGCAGCACACCCATAGAATGCGCCGTAGTAAACGACTGAATAGCCAACGCGAAAAACCCCTTCGTCAGAGAAGCAAAGCACATCTTCAAACCGGTCGCTACACCAATCCGGTCCGAGATATGTTTGATATTCAGTGTGCGAGATAACTTATCGTCTGGGAGTTTCTCGGGACCGGAGACTATCAAGCTGGGACAATGCCAGGCTGGTTCGTTGGGGTTGGTTGGCTGCAATGGCCGCGGTGGGCCACCCACGATACCTCCGTCGATGTACCGGAGGTAAGATGATGACGATGTCCCACTTGCTTCAGTAAAGAGTGCTTCCATCTCGCGCGCTGTCTTTGGCGACACAGCATTCAGATCAATTACCCATAACGGGGTATCGCGGACCGAGGGCCGCGCGGACGATGCTTCCACGATGCGCCGGGCGGTTGCGAGTGCGTCCCGTGGTGGAACGATGGAGAGGAGGCAGTCGCTTTGGTCGACCAGGTCTTGCATCGAGGGACGGAGCTCAATGCCTGCTTCCCATGCTCGCCGTTGGGTGGCTTCGCTGTGTGGGGTTTGTGGTTAGCTGCGATGACAATCTGGAGGGGGAATACTGATTATAGTACCTCCGATCGGCCGCATAGGTCAGGACTCGGTAATGGTGGGCGATTAGGAGCTGGGCTATGCCCAGACCCATCTCCCCGATGGAGATGATGCCGATGGCTTCGAAGGGGTATGACATGGTATCGATGATTGTGATGGACTTAAAATGAGAAGGTTGAAATAATTAGAAAAGAGGAGTGATAGTGAGGGGTAGATTCGGGCCCTAATCATCAGCCCTGTTCCCCCCGCGGGCTTTTATCCTCCGTGCCGGGATGGTGGCACGGACTGTCACGTCACGCCATTCATATCACCACTCGGCAGACAAACAGCGATGCTGACTAGGTGTAATAAGACGTCGGGTGACTGGGGTATGGATTGGCTGTTTCTTCATTGCTTGGAAGGAGATTTTTTGAGGGTGTGGAGTGGTTGCCATTGAACGGTCGCATGGTCGTCGCGCAATGGAATCTTAAATTTGGCGGTTTAGTCGCCTTAAATGAAGATAGCGCTATCTTTGGGTATGACGTCGGTCCTTCCTATCGCTTCAGTTCCATCCAAAACAGAGGTAGCTTATCGTGTATGGGTGGCTAGTGCTGAGGACGTGCTGTAGGCAGATAGGCCACTTAGGCTTTTTTTTTTTTTTTTTCTGTATTTGTCTTCGTGGAGTAAAACCAAGAGTAAACTTATCTCAATTCTCTGTCATCTAAGATTTGTTGGAAGGGCCTTCACCACATCAACCAGAGTCCTATCCGATGTTCATAGGCTCATCAACTAACCCGATCACCCGCAAGTCGCTGCTATTTTTGACCTGCTCAAAAGATTACGTTAGAGAGCCAAAGCATGCCACGAGGCATGAATTGAAAGTAAAGACGCCATAGCTACATCGTCGAAGCTAATAAGGTGCAAACTTCGGACACAGACTCTCGCTGTGTTGTTCCCGGATAGCCCCTTGCATCAACCGCGATCCTAGCGTGTTGTTGAGGGGAGATAAGTAGGCATGGATAGAAAGATCCGCGCCCTTGCAGCGCGAACCATGATGCAAGGGGTGCACTTTATGAAGGACAACGTAGCGGACATTCCGCCCTTCAGGGGGCTCTCCATACGAGTGGAGGTGAGAATTTCTACACATTTCAGCGCTACCACGTATTTCTTGTAACTGATGCCCCTGTTGCGCACGTTGCCCTGCTGGGGTTTAGCGGCGCTTCTAAGTTCGCTCGTATAATCTGCTGGGGTAATCACGTCGATGTATGCTAATATAGTGGGAGGGTTTGTTAGACCCAAAGTGCCGTCGAGGAATGAATGTCCCCAAGTTGGCGATTTAAGAGCCATCACTGATAGCACGATATTCCAGAAAAAGGCTAGCACTCATTGTTATTAATAACATTTGGCTACAGCTATGGTTTTAATGGCTTATTTTCACTGTTGTACGTATGATCTTAAGAACCATATATGTGACAGTTGGAGATAGCTTCCATCCATTCATGAGAATCTTGAGAGCTTATGCGGCAAGCTGCCACATGCTAGCCATGTAGAGCTATACCTAAGATGCATAAAGCATGGATGCGGTGGCTTTTCTTTACTTCATGCATACATCAGCTGAAACGCAATCAAGGCTTAAACAAGAGCAGAAGAATTCGATAGTCTCTTCAAGTTGGTTTAGCGGCATCTTGCCAAGATGTCATGGCACCGTATCTTCGAACTGATTTTGGTCAAAGCAGCACACTTCGAGCATGCCATGATGCGCCAAAGCAAGTTTATCTAGTGTTAGATCCTTTTTTCGGTAACTGAATCATTGGCTGTTCAGTCTGGAGTACGCCAAAGAAATGTGGCATATTGTGATTACCAGGAAACGTCATGCCCGATTCATCCTGTGCCCAGCATTCCAGTACAGGCACCGTCCCAGAGAATCTGACCAGGAGGCGAACCGATTGGCGGCTGGGCTGCGCCAATACCAGAGACTACGTGCGGTATCTACAGATTCTCATATGGATGGGGACATCTTATCAAAAGCCGAAGGATCTGGCTTACGGACTTCTGCCATGGGTATATAAGTGATGCTATAGTACCATTCGGGGAGATTCCCATAACCCTTGGCTCCAACACCAAGTGATGCTTTATAATTAAACTAGAATAAAATGCGTGCATGGCATTCTGTACTTCTTCTCCCGGTCCTGGTGGCCTCAACTGCAACCGACCAATGCCGTCCTTCACAGGCCAGCAGCCGCAAAGACTGGTACATCCCGTCCTACACCCTCCCTCCCACCTTAAAGCTAACATCACCAGGGGTGACTTGACCACTCAGGAGAGAACCGACTACATCGACGCCGTCTGGTGCCTACGAGGGCGTCCAGCACTCCTCCCCAACGACCAATACCCAGGGGTACGAGACCGCCACGATGACTTTGTAGCGTAAGTGTACAACCCCCACCACCTATTCTAGCCTAGCCCTCATCTAACGAACATCCAGCACGCACATCAACTACACCCTGCACATCCACAACGACGGCCTCCTCCTCCCTTGGCACCGACACTTCCTCCACCTCTACGAAAAAGCGCTCCAAGACGAATGCAACTACCAAGGAAGTGTTCCGTAAGCTCCCTCCTCATCTCTCCCCAACTAATTTTCCCTCATAACTCCCAACTCATCCCTCCAGATACTGGAACTGGCCTCTAACCACTAACCTAACCGCCACCCCCCTCTTCGACGGATCCCCCACCTCCCTCTCTGGCAACGGCTCACCCCAAAATAACACCTCCACCCTATGCCCCTTAAACATCTCTCCCTGCCCATCGCCTGGCACTGGCGGCGGGTGCGTAACCACCGGCCCACTTTCGACCTGGGTCATGCACCTGGGCCCCTTCTCCCTCTCCCAAGTAATCCCCTACGGCGACCTCCCCGCCAACGCCTTCGCCTACAACCCACGCTGTCTCACCCGGAACTTCACGACAGACTGGCTGGCTGCCCTAAACACCCAGGACAAAGTGGACGACATGATTGCGGCCGCTGATCTCCAGGAGTTCTTGGAGCTGATGAGTCCAAGTGCGAATGGGTATGCGGGGGCACATGAAGGCGGGCATGCGAGTGTGGGGGCGAATATGTTGGATACGTTTGCGTCGGCGCAGGACCCTGTATTCTTTTTGCATCATGCTATGGTGGACAGAGTGTGGACGTTGTGGCAGTGGGGTGATTGGGAGGAGAGGAAAGGGGCTGTGAATGGGACGACGGTCGTGCATGATCCGCCTGGGGCGCCGATGGTGACGCTGGATACGGTGATGGAGTTTGGGGTGTTGGATGAGCCGAGGAGGGTGGAGGAGGTTATGAATGTGTTTGGGGGGGACTATTGTTATCGGTATGATTAGGGTGTCTTAGTAGGTTATGAGTGTGGGTTTGTGATGTATACACTCAGTATATGGAGCATAGTGTAGTAAATGAAGTGTCTTCTCAATACACAGTCGCCTGCTGAACATCAACATGTCCCGAAAATAGCTCCTCCTTGCCCGGATCTTCCGGCAGCTCGACACCATAGAACTTCTTCAATACGTCCTGAATCACATCATAGCAAGCGCCATACCGCACGAGCTTCATATCCCGAAAGTTGATAATAGTCGACGACGCCCGCGGCACACTAAATGTGCGCTTCCCATAATCGATGACGATATCCGCAGCCTCCACGATCTCGGGCTCAATATCCTCAATGCGGACCTTCATCCCCGACCCTGAGATGTTGGCCGACGAACCGAGCAGTGGTAATCCCGCTGCATGGCATAACCGAATGAGTTCCTCCTGGAAGGGTCCTCCATTGACTAGCATGGAAAGGGTGCCGTCGTGCGTACAGCGCGAGAGCAACTCAGGGCCGAGTTTCTGGATGATTGGGTGGTCGGGCCGAAAGGGGGCCGCGACGCCGACCGGCACATCCAGATCCACGGTTAAGGTTCGAACCATGGACTCTTCGCGGGCCGGGAGGATGTGAATTTCTTGATGGAGCGCGTAGCTTCCGATCATGGCGTGTTTCTTGTGTGGTTTGCGGCGCTTCGTTGTGAAGAGGCGGTCCAGGGCTGCTGGGTCGCTGGCCACCAGGCCGTAGCCGATGCTGCCGGGGATGAGGGCAATGCCTTGATTTTTGATCACTTCGAAGACGCGCTGGGCGTCGCGGGGGACGTCAATTGGGGTGGTTGAGTAGGTCATTGTGCTTATGTTTGGGGTAAGGAGAGTATAGTGGAGAGAAGGATTCTGATGCTGGTGTTGGTGGGGAGAAGGATCCTGGGGCGAGGATCCGGGGGAGCTTATAAGCTAAAGATCTTACGTGCGGGGTGCAGGTAGATGCGAAAGGGGAAGAGGAAGGCTGTTCGTGTGACTGTGATCATGCTGACGCCACTTTCATCATGTCTCTATACCTGGGTATCTGGGGATAATTCTCCAGCAATCGGGCGGGCAAGTGACAACAGGCTGCAGAGGTAAACAAAGGAATCAAGCGCAAATGCCTCGGGTAGAAGAAATACAACATACCGAGCACCGATTTGAAATTGCCTCGTTCGGGTTCACTCATAATTTCCAGCTGGTGGTTGGTCGTTTGACTGATCGGACCCTCTGTTGCTCGGACGGTGTAGCGGTGACCTTGGATGAACGGAACACGCGGCAGCTCGAACAAGGTTTCATTCATGCCGGTAGCCGGGATTTCGATTAGATCGCCTGGACATCTGCATTCGGCTCTTCGGAATAGACCAGTTCAGGAAGGTGATGGGGTTGTTGTTGTTGGTCTTGCGTGTGTTGTGGATAGTCACTAATGGTGACGTACCCGATGGGGTCAAGTCGGGTACCCATTGCTTTTGGCTTTTGCAACTGGAAGCATATAGAGGATACGGGGAGTGACAGTCAACCATGAACGTCGAGATGGCCAGTAGAAGACCGAGGTAACATTGATAGTGGTGAATTATCTTGATAGCGGGTGTGGGATCGCCTTCGCTGTGTCACTCCACGAAAAGCATAGCTCGACTACTTATTCTACAAGTAGGGGCTAGACGAATCTGTGCTGCGAGACTGAGAAAGACGTTCAGAATGCATTCAACAGCCAACCAGTCATACTGGACAAGTGATACTACTGTTGAAGTATATCAGTCCCTCAGACTATAGGTTTCTATTCGAAGGATGGGTCAGTACCTCCGCCATTAATCTGGGGAGCACGGACTAATCTTGACATACTGCAATGATCGAACTGGCTAGTTCTCCAGCTACATTAGAGCGCTCACCACAAATTTCAGGCATACTTGGACATTAAGAATGCTTGTTCTGCCGCGCTGTCGGAAAGGGGAGCTGTAGAGGGTTTACCAGCTCACTATGCGCTGCAAAGTATTTTTACTGGGCTCCTTTCAAGGTTAATAGCAGCCTTTCGATAAGAGGCAGGGGAGTTGGAGCACTGGGCCCTGGTGTGACTAGCTGAGAGGCTTTCGACGAGTTGGACTTGGCGGACAAGTCAGGGAATACGCCTTATCTGGGTCTTCTACAGCATATCTTCATAGAGCATGGGGCAACCATTGGGACATGACAAAAATCTCGGCGTGAGAGAGTACACTAAGAAGGTAGTCTTAGATGCCCTGAATCACGAAGCATCAGCACACAACCCATGTACACAGTATACGGACTCTTGCAGCCTCTCCATGGCAACGACCCGTAAAGTCATGATTGTGGGCCACCGATCTGGCTGGAACCACAGCAGAACAAAGTTAAGTGATATAATAGAACGGAAAACTCAGCTACAGTCTAGATCCAGCCAAAGAGCTACTAGGGCACCGGCTTCAAGTGACAAAATCATTACTGAGGATACGGCCGGTATAGTCTCTGGTTCTCCCTGGGGTCGGAAGTAATCGTCAAGGCAACCAAGCATCTCGATCACAATCTTGTTGAGTCCGTAAAGGCAGCGTGCGCTAGCCTCCTGTGTCGACACTTTTTGCATGCTGAAACAGCAAACGACCCGCAGCATCGGCAAAAGTCCCCGACGCAAAGACCGACCACTCCGCTATTCTGGCGGTGAAGTTGTAGACAGGGATTAGGCTGGGAAGAGGAGGAGGAGGAATGTAAACTGTTAGGAATGTGTATAATTCGAGTTCCATCTCTGGAACTGGGGGAGGTATTGGTTAGGTCGAGTGCGAATATGTCTTGTACAATACACCATAGGTACGCAATACACAGTGTAGGATTTGTGGTTGCACGCTAAAAATTCTCAGATGAAGTTGATAGATCCAATGGGGCGCGGGGAAGCACATCGTCTGGTAAGCTAGGCGGGAAAGAAAAATGTGGCTGACTTTCAACTCCAGGGCCAGATGGAGTACCCTCGTCCTGGAGGGGATTGATTCGGCGCAAGAATTTAGCTTGGAGCCGCCCAAGCCGATGTTGGAACAGGGATTGTGTGCGATGAATCGTGAAGGCCGGGGTGGTGGGCAGAAAGTCGTGCAGTTCGACACGCGGGTTGCTTCGCGCCGAGTCGCTTGCTTCCTGGCTCTCCGAGCGAAGCACCTGCTGGCTCGTTAAGTGGCATTGGCTCGAATATTGGAGGCATAACCACACAAGGAAGATGACAGTAGAATAAACTCAAACCAAGATTCTGTCATGCGAGCCGGGCCGAGATCGGGCGGGCGCTACTTTTGCCGCGGTCGAAAGCGGCCCAGATTCAACTCTCTATAGCCGAATTAGGGCCTGAATATATGATAATACATTATCACCTGCTAGGAGAGGTTGGTGTAGTACTTACGTATTCGGAGAGTAGCTGCTACATGGTAGTACTCCGTACAGTAAATTTTAGATGCATGTCGGAATTTCTTGGCTGCGTTTTCAACAATCCCAAGCAGTGATCGAATTGAGAATCTGCTGGATCTTGCAAAAGGCAGCTCGATCCGGTCCATGGTGTCCGAAAGTCACCGGCCTGTCAGTTTGTTCCTACGGCGGTTACTGGTGGAGTTACTTAGTAGTCGAGAGCCCGCTGATATGATTACTCACATATCTATAGGGTTTTGTTCCCTGACACTGTCAGTACTTTAGTCTATTGGATCAGTTGAGGTTCAATTTCTCGAATCCGAATCCACCGACTCTGCCTTCCAGTCAGTCAGAAGAATCATGCATACAGTAAGTAGACAACTGTTGACATATCACTCAGCTTGAGTCCTGCAAGCCCCACCAATACAGATCATATTCAAAAGGATGTTTCAGTCCAGAGTACCTGCTTGAAGACCCACTTCCCGACTCAGCCGTCAGGTAGGAAGACCCATTCATGGTATATCGGATATATCACCCACAGATTTTGCTCGGTGCCTGCGTTTAACCTGCTCACCAGTTGGCCAGGTCACAACAGACTGCAGTCTGGGATAGACATCGCACTTGTGTCTTTACCAGCCACCCAAAGCAAGTAGGTCGATGTCTATACATCAACTTGATAAAAATGCAAAAGTGCTTTAGACTACCAGGGCTTCCCACATCGTGTGGGCTGGAAAGCTTTCCTCAGGCTACCATATAAGACACAATCCGTACCCGATCAGATTTCATCCTTCACCAAGACTTGACCATTCGTTAGCCTTTCTCAACTCCCACTCTCTTCTCGTGGTAAAGCCACCTGCATATCACTATGCCCCGAAACTCTTCGAGACGGCAAACCAGGAACAGACCTGAGACGCCCCCGCGCACCCCATCAGTAACTAAACGATCTCCGATTTCGTGGAATTACATGGAAGATTGCCTGCTACTGAGAGGAATGATCCTAGCTTTGAACGAGGGAACCCTCTCAAAGCAGGTGTTCGAGAAGCTCGTGAAGAAAAGAGGAGACGATCGCTATTCCGCTGATACTGCGAGGTAAGTTGCTATCGACTTTTCCTGTTCATAGTCCTGTAAACCATACTAACTTGGTGTTCAGAAAACGCTATAGATATCTCAGCAACATATGCACAGCAGTCGAGAAGGACCGCCGCAACCTCTTTCCACAGTTGGTTATGCCAAAGCTCGAGGCAGACAAGCACGCAGACGATGCGTATATGAGTGGTCAAGAGCCCGAAGACGATTATTTCCTATCACCAAATCAAACACCATGTTCCAATGCGAGCACTTCTCCTTCAGTCGAGTATTCTGCTACTCTGACCCCAACTCCCCGCCGCAGCCGTCGGCGGAGCAGCCCTGAAGAGCCTGGCACACCCACCCGCCCATACCGCCGTAGGGAATCTGACCGACGGCAGAGCAGTGCTCCTTATCAGCGTGGTGGTTCGTCGCGAACGAATCCTCAACCTCCTGCAAGAACTCCCGCTCCGCCCAGGCGTACTCAAGGACCGAGTACCTCGCGCGGTTCTCGCCAGTCACGATCCAGGTATCGAACACCTGCGGCCAACCAAAATGTCCGGTCCGAGAGCCAACATTGGAACTTTGAGGCAAGGTTCACCCATGATTGATTGCCGATCTGTTCAATGAGTCCTAGTTTTGTCTTTCACTCATTTCGGCTCCCTGTTATTCGTTTGTTGGAGGATTCCAGCACTTGTCGGACCTGTCATCCGTTAGCTTATGCTTGGCCGTCTGCTCAATTGTTCCTGTATCCGATCTTGACGTTACTGTTTGGACCGGGAAAATGGAAGGATATGTACGGTTCAAATGGTTGTGCTCTGATTGTGTTTAGCTCTACTTTTGTTTACCTTCTTTCATTTTTCCTGGACCGTTGTTTTACTATCATGTGTCCATTTGACCTGATTTCAGTTGCAAAAAATGGTATGACAGAAGATGGATTAGTTAGTTTAGTTTAGAAAAATGCCACAAATACATCTAGAAAGAAAACCTAACTGCATTATTTGAGCCTCCTCCTTTCCCTTCTATCTCTTTTCATTATAATTTCATTTTGTTTTTGTTTTTTGTTCGATCCTGAGATAATTCTCTTCTTGACTTTGCAGAATGCTTCCACAACTAGACTTTCTGAGCAAAGCGGTTCTCCCAGAAGTAGTGTGGATACATGTCCCTCCCTATGAGTTTATCAATTCTGTACGATAGCTTTTATTACAACTCAGATGTGTATTAATCGTTGTAACGAACTGACGCCTTTATGTTATCTCATCTCTCCGGATCTCGCACTCGGGGCTACTTCTTGATAACTTTACTATTGGTATCGAACCACCACGAGAATTTTTCGCTTACATAGTATTTATCTCATTGTTCTTGCTACTAATTTTATCTACGATCTATATGTTCGAAGTCTCTGGTCTTGGTAATCTTCATCATCTGATCTACCAAGTGAGATGCTAACCAGGTGGTACAGCAGCGATTCAATGCTACTTTCATCAGAATGCTGTCAGGTCACAAGATCACCCTAACTATGCGCTATCTCTATCTATTCCTTCAGGCCGGCTTTTCTCTATATGGCTTATGCTGGTAGACTCCTGCTATGGAAGACTAGGATTGTATGAACTGAACTAAATGGGTGTAATCAACCAAAGTAGTTCATTATTACTCAATCCCTAGCTACTAGACTAAAGTCCATACAAAAACGATGTCCAACATACCAAACCATCAACCGGCACACCTGTCAAGAACCACATCAAGTCTTAAATCTCCCACATCGACCATAACCTTACAACACCCCCACACAGATGTAATATCCCAACCACAAATTAGTACAACCCGTCCCCACTGCCGGGTTCCAAGCGATAATATCCGTCACTGACACACTCTTCTTTTGCGCCACTGTCGTACAGGTATCCCCAGAGGCAACCAGATAGAAGGCATCGCAGTTACTCACCATCCCCGATTGAGTGGGCAGTGGGGTGGTAACACTCGTGGTGGTGGAGGTGGTAGTCGTAGATGTGGTTGTAGTGGTGGTAGTGTCACTCACTCCGGTACAGACATAGTACCCCAG